AAAACTAAAATTAAGAGTAATAAATATTTTTATTTCTTGCCCTTGAAGTTCATATGTCATACTGTGTTGTAGCCTACCAAGTTGCAAAATTCTTCTCGTGATTCGTCGCATGCGTACGTTTTACTGATGTCACGACAGTATAAAATCTCAACGTTAAGCATCCCTTATGTGACGTCATTTTAGTGTCTACTGATTGACTGACAGACAACAGACTACTGTATAAAGGTGAGAGTGGTTAAAAAATGGTGACCCCCTCCAGGCGGCCTTCGGCCCTTTTTGGGGAAATAACATTTTATAATAGAAATTTTGTAAATAATTTTAAATTAAAAATATATTATATATTATATTATAATGTGACGGTCAATCCCACTATTCGTTGGTAACAGAGTAGCCCAGGAGTTGGCAGTGGGTGGTGATAACTAGCTGCCTTCCCTCTTGTCTTACACTGCTAAATTATGGATGGCTAGCGCAGATAGCCCTCGTGTAGTTTTGCGCAAAATTCAAAACAAGCAAACAAACCGTATAGGGAGCCACCCAGCGGCACAGCAGTATGTCTGCGGACTTACAACGCTAGAATCCGGGCTTCCATATCCGAGGTGGGCAGAGTACAGATAGCCCATTGTGTAGCTTTGTGCTTAATTACAAACAAACAATCCTTACGGGGAATTGGGAATGAGCAGAAAGTTAGAGAAGTGATATTCAGTGGCATCTTATAGTTTTCTTATAGATTTCGGGTGAGCAAAAGAAGAAAAAAAAAGTGTGTTTAGTAAAGGAGACTTAGAAAAAACAAATAAATAAGTAGAAGAGGGATGGAGGAAGAAATAAATAAATGATTTAAAAAGGGAAGTTTAAAAAATAATCTGGAGCTAAAATTGGCTACAAATATGGATAAATATTGTCATGGTTAGTAGCCTACATGATTACCTAACCTTAATTTTTGATTAGTTACTAATCTTTTATTGCTATTACTATATACTAATAACTAACTAGTTGATTTTCTACGGTTCGGCTCCTAATATTCTGTTGTATTTAGTAAAATCCTTAGAAGGATTATTTTTGTGGTTTTAGATTCAATAAGGTTTGTTTGTAGTTGAGCACAAAGCTACACAATGGACTATCTGTGCTCTTCTCACCACGGGTATCGAAACCCTGATTCTAGCATTGTAAATCCGCAAACATACCA